CTCATGCCCTCAGCAGAGTTTTGCAGAACTCAGCCTCTCACAGGGCCCAGAGCAGCCCTGGGTTCATCACCCACGGAGTTCATCTCTTCCTGGTCCTGGGGCCTCTTCTTCAAACTTTCCTGGTGAGATGAGACCAAAACTGGCTGGCAATTGCCACTGGCTATCAAAACTGACTTTACTGCTTCCTTACCCACACCCTCTCAGGAATGTCCCCCATGGGCGTGGCTGGAGTCTGCTGCTGGGAAGTTTGCAGAGGCCCAGGCCGCCCACCCGCGCTCTCAGGAAAGCTGTAATTTGTGGTGACAGCAAGGAGCCCTGCTGTTGCTTCTGCTTGGAAAGCCTAGCCGTGACTGCTCCCTGGCCGCAGCTGCAGTTGGAGGCTTTGATTCCAGGGCGGTGGTCTTAGCAGCCGCTGCAGTATGTTGTGTGCAGAGCCAAGCCACGTGTCCACAAGGAGAGGAGGAAAGGTTAAGGGTCAAGCCCGGAGACCAAACACACCTCGGGGCCCTGCTGGACAGCAGTGGACATCGGTCTGGCTAAGTTCAGGGTGACCATTCTAGGAGGGACACTGGCAAAGAAATGCAGTGATGGGGTGAAAGCAGGAGCGGTGTGGCCCTCCACATATCAACTAGAAATTCAAACAAACAGAAGAGATTGCTCAAGGGGCTCATTTTGTAGCCACAAGGTTTTGATTTCTCATTCCCGCCAGGAGAAAGGAAAACTCTGAAGAAAGGGCTTCTAGTTTCCCAGCACAAAAGGAAGAGGTAGGGAGGTGGACCTTCTTACATCTTGGCAAAAACTAGAGGCAGTCCTTCGAATGAGTTATTTTCTAAACACGGGCCGTAGATCATCTTCTTTTATTTGAATATTTCCTACTTATCTTCACTTACACTAGATTTTAAAATACGGCAGTCTGTTAAGCCAAACACTTAGTATTCAAGTGTATAAATATACTATTTCATTTTTAATGTGTTGAGTATCAGGAAATAAGTAGGGATTTCAAAAGTTTTCCCAAACTCACAAAAAGATAAGACATCTTAATATCTTCTCTACCAAAGTGCTAGCTGGAGTGAAACTGCTCATGGCTTCATTTCTTTCCTGCCTGTTCAAGGGCTGAATTAATGTCGCAGGAGGCAATGATGCCAACTCGAGCAGATGCCACACTTGACCTAGCGAGGTTACCAGCGGGTCCAGAGCTCCTCTGGTCCCCTTCTCATGGTCAGGTCAGTGGCTTCCAGGAGAACACTCAGAAACCAGAAAACTCCTGGCTGTAAAGAGGCTGATTGTCGCGAACCTTGGCCAGCACCTTCAGTCACTGCTGGCTGCCCGGGAGAAAGAAGGGTCACTGTGTTGCTAGGCAGCCCCGCTGGCAGACCTCAGGCAGGCGAGTTCAGCAGGACCCAGCAGGGCTGTGTTCCCCGCAGCTGCGGCCCCCAGCTTCTTGGTTCCTGGTCCACATTGCTCTGTTGATACCCACTGTGCCGAAGGTGTTTAGGTTCTGGTTGTCATTGTGGTCCTGGAGGTGGAACCCTGGCTCACATGCTGGGCAACTGCTCTACCACTGAGGTTCACCTGCACCCCAAGGGGTCTCTCTTCAAAGCCAAGAGGACAAAAGGGGACACACCACTTCCAAAACTGGAATGAGGGTGCTGCCTGGCTTTGAGGCTCCTCTGGAAACATCTCTATTCACTGTGGGTTCAGAGTGAAGAGGAGGCCAAGTCCGCGAGCACAAAAGGTTAACAGGAGCTGAAGAGTCCACTGTGCCTGGAATGTGGTGAGATCCAAGGCTGGGATGGGAAACGCCAAGGCGCTGCTCACGCCAGAAGAGTCACAGAGCTACATTTGTGGACTCCGGCCAACCACAGAAGAATAACATTTTCTGCTTACTGTGGTTACATGCATGTAAGTTTTACAAACTTTTTTTCTTTTTCAGTATCAGGGATCAAACTCAGGACCTTGCGCTTACCAGGCAGGTGCTTATGCCACTGAGCTATCTCCCCCCCACACAAACTTCTATTATTTTTTTACTTTGACACTTCAGACAATTGAGGTATATTTTTAAAAATACACGCACACACACACACACACACGACAATAAGTTTAATGAATTTCATTATCTTTAATATCATTCTAGAATTTGTAAAAGTATTTCTCACCAGCTATAAACGTCCTTTCCTTTCTCAGTCTGGTAGAAGAGGCAAAGCTCAGATTGCTGGAGCACGGCGTGCGCATTCGCACTCACTCTATGTACGGCATTAAGCTACAGAATGCACAGTGCGCCTTGCCTCCTCCGGGATCTTGGTGTAAAACTTAGCTTTGGCAGATGACCTCTGTCTCTGGACATGGATCTTAGGAATATTTTGACACGTCTCAGTGCTGTAGCGAACTCAAAGATAAACACTTCAAGATGCTCCGCTCGCTGAGCTTGGCTGCCGGTATGCACACTGGAGGAAATCACCAAGCAAAATAATTAGAGTCCTTACTTGAAACCACAGGTTGGAAACCAGCATATCTGTGGAACATATTAACGGTGGTGACTCATAGCCACGAGTTAAATATACCGAAGAATTAAGTGTTGAGCTCATCGTTCTCGTGTGCTGAGGTCCGGGATCACTGTCAGCCCAGCAGAAATTGGGATTGAATTAGACATACTGGACTTGCCTTCTGGCTTCATGGCAAGCACTTGCTAATCATACACCCCGCTGGGTTCAGACTTGAGGGGAAACTCCCTGTCTGCCTCGGCCTTCTAGGTTCCAAGAATCTGTCAAGGCAAAGGGAAAATATCTTCGAGCAGCCTGTGGTGTGACTTGGATTCTTCTGATGCAAAGCCCAAGAATCTCAGACCAAAGGGAGTCCTGGTGGGGAGCCGGGAGGGAAAGCGTTCCTAGGGAAGCCTAGGTCCTCCCAGAAAATCCAGGTTGTCTGTGGCCTCCCCTGTCATGGAGCAGCAAGGAGTTTCTCTCACACTGGGGTTGCTTTGATGTGTCTAAGCCACTGTGGTTGTCTTGCTTCCCTGGTTCAGGACTGCTTTGGGGTAGAGTGTGTGACCCACTTCTGGCCCTGAGATGTCAGAGGACAGAGGCTTCTGGAACAGACCCTTCCTCTGAAGAAGGAGGTAACTCAAGACATGAACCTCGAATCCCTCTAGAGATACTGCAGAGACACCAGGACCAGGTGAGACAGCTCCTGAACCAGCTCCTCCTTTGTGGCTTCTTAAGAGGGAAAGTAAACCTTTTGTTTAAATCATACTGAGTTGATTATTTATTACTTGCTGTTGAAAGCTTCTTAACTGATTCAACACAGCTTCCTGGACGTGACACATACCCTCCTATCCAGATCATGTCGCATAAGAGACAACCTGTGGGTCTTGAAATCATCTAAGGATGTGAACCGTGACCCTCTGTTAACCTACGTCTATCCTGCCTGGATTCAAGCTCATCTATGCAGCAAATGAGTAGCACATGAAGCAGACGTCATGACATTGATGTGGGGTGGGGGCATCTGGGGTCACTGGTGCTCAGGCAGAGCAGGGTAACAATTAGCTACCTGGCGGGGGGTGGGGGGGCAGGTTTTTGCCTACAGGAATAGCAACCTCCAGCACGAAATCCCTGAGAAGTCTCTGCAGTCAGAGATTGCAGCAGCTCCCAGCAAGTGACAAGCTGAAGGTTTCTCCAGCCTGAAATCTGGTGAAGCCTAATCCTATACTGAGCCCCAGACCCAAGAGGGAAAGCTTCCTGTTGCACCTGCCGCTTCGCACGGACAGTGGCTCTGCATTTGGCCTCAGCCAATGTTGTGTGGTTGACAAGATGATGACATGTCTAGGAGGCCTTTGTGCTTACGATGGGCTGGGACCGTGGGGTCAGAGTGGCACACTTGTTGGCCTTGATGAACTACATCAAGGTCACCTGGGCCTGCAGTCTCTGTTAGGGTCCCCTGGTGTTCTAGGGATATGGACAAAATAGCACGGCATTACCGGAGAATTGCCCCGCAGACCCTCCACACTGTCCCTGCTCGTCCCAACTTTCCCAGCCCCTGGAGACCCAGGATCCTCCAGCGCCCCCACAGAGCTGCTTCTTTCAGAGTGCGCAGGGCTGGGTCCACGCTGCCACTCAGCCTTGCCCTTGAGTGTCCCTCCTGCAGTATTCTGCACCCTTGCCTCCTCTCCATCTTTTCAGGCTTGATGGCTCATTTCTTTTCCACCAAACCATAGACACACCACAGTCTAGTGGACTACGGTGCATCTGTTCTCTGGCTGCTGAAGGGTGTTGCAGCTGCATCTGAGTTTTGCTAACTGGGAATAGAGCAGCTGCAAGTGTCCATGTGCAGGTTTCTGTGGAGGCCTAAATGTTCAGCTCCACGGGGTGGCCACAGAACAGTGCCATTACTGTATCCTGTGCTGAGAACATGCATTGTTCAGTAGCAGCTGCTGTGGTGTCTCTTAGGGTGGCCTAGCCACTCTGTGTCCTGGCTGGCTGTGGGCAGTCACTTCGGCTCTGTACCCTCACCAGCACTGTGTGATATGGGTGCTTTGGCTCTGGTGATTCCCAGGGGTGTGAGTGACATCTTCTTGCTGTTTTAATTTTTAATTCTATGGCACACGCTGCTCAGCCTCTCTCATATGCTTATTTGCCATTTGTATATATTCATTGCTGAGTAGCTGTTCAGGCCTTTTGCCCATTTTTCAATTAGTTCTTTCTTACTGTTGAACCAATCTTTTAACTCCACTTTGGGGAAGGATTTCAAAAGACACTGACCATTTCCCAGCCCAACTCTGTCCATCTGTCCTGGATATCCTCAGTTGCACATAGAGGTAGAAGGACAATTTCAGTTCTAAACATATGAATTGTTATCAGACATGGTGGTGTACACCTAGCACTCAAGAGGCTGAGGCAGGAAAATCACCGCAAGTTTAAGGCCAGCCTGGGCCACCTAATGAGTCCAAGGTCAGCCTAAATTACACAGTGAGATCCTCTCTCGAGGAAAAACAAACAAACAACCCCCCCCCACCAACAACAACAAAAACTGTGCTCGCTTCGGCAGCACATATACTAAAATTGGAAGGATAAGTTTTCAATTAGCAATAATCACGCCTCGGATAAACCTCATTGGCTACGATACTGCCACTGCACAAAGCTGAAAAAAATTGGAAGGATACAGAGAAAATTAGCATGGCCTCTGCGCAAGGGTGACACGCAAATTCGTAAAGCGTTCCATATTTTTTGGATGGCTCTTGAAGTTTGAGTAGTAAAGATTCAATTATTACAGCTAAGGTGGAATTTGCAATTTATCTAAGGTCTCAAACTCAAATGGTCAGCCAAAATCAAGTTTGTGATTATGCAACTATATAGATTTCCCTCTGTGTATAAATTAGAAAAACAAACCAAGCGATTAAATGAATAAGTAAAAAATCTGTAGGATCAGGAAGAAAGTTGTGCAGGCATTTATTTAATTGATGTTATAGAATTACATGGATATAAGCAACTTACTCCATTTTTATTGCTATGTTTCTATGTAGAGTTTTAAATTAATGTCTTCCTAATTTCTATCCTGGAAATGACATTTACAGTTAAGGTGTATCTACAGTTTTGGAAATCATAGCATAAAGGAACATGTCTCATTGAAGTTTTGATGACTGCTACACAAAATCATACCATACATATCCAGAAATCATTGTTGCTATTGTAGTACCCATTTTTTAAAACATAGTCCTGAATAATCCTTGACTCCTGTTATTCATACTACTTTGTATTTCCATCTCCAGTTGAATGGAACTGACCTGTTAAATCAATGAAATGAAGCAGAAATGATAGTGTATGAATTCCAAAGCCCGGTCACAGAGGGGCCGGAAAGATGGCCCAGGGGAGTAAGCGCTTTCTTGGCAAGCACAAGGGCCTGAGTTCAGTCCCTGCTTCCGGAAAAACAAAAACAAAGCCCGGTCACAGGAGACATTCTGGATTCTATTTTGTTTACTTTGGGTTCCTTACTCTGGGATAAGCCAGTCACCACACCACAAAGAAGCTTGAGCAGCCTATGCAGGTGACAACAGCAGATGAGCCAAAGCTTCCTGTCAATAGGTATAAGAGGGATTTATTTTGGAAGTAGGACCTCCAGCTGCAGGCTTTTGGAAACACAGATAGTTAATATAATGTTTGAAAAGAAGGAGAAAAATCTACATTTGACAGATATTGGAGTTTCAGTTTAGATGGGTTCTGTAGTAAGTCCTCCAAAAGTCACCTAAGAGGCTGGGGAGGTAGCTCAATGGTCTTAAGTGCCTGCCTGGCAAGTGCAAGGACCCGAGTTTGAGCACTTGTTCTGAATGCTGTGCAGGCCCTAGACTGAGCTGGCCATCAAAACTGGGCATGGCCTGTGATCCTAGCACTGGGTAAGCTGAGACAGGAGGATCCTTATGTGTTTGAGCTGTGTAGTGAGACCCAGTACCAAATAAATAAATAAATAAATAAATAAATATTATTAAAAACAACAACAACAAAAACCAAAACTCAGGCTGGAGGTATAGCTCAGCATCACATTGCTCACCTGGTAATCATGAGGTCCTGAGTTCAATTCCTAGTGCCCAAAACCAAATCTAAGTATGGTGGCGCGCACCTGTCATTCTAGCACTTGAGGAGCCGAGGCAGGAGGATCACCACTTCCAAGTCAGCCTGAATTACATAGTGAGACCCTGTCTCGAAAAAGTGAAAACTAAGATAAAATCTACATGCATCATTTAACAGCCATGCTGTGGCCAGCACATTGTGCTAAGCACTGAGGGAGATACGAAAAAATGTCAGATACAGTCATTGCCATCTTGGTCATCTCTAGGGAGGACAGACATGGCAATGACAGAACAGAGGACAGGGAGGGACGTAACATCGACACCAACGTGTAGCTTCCCCTCTAAGTACTTGCCACAAAACTTTGATTCAGATCCAAGTGTTCTGAGTACACTTTTAAAAGCTATTTTGACAGAAGATGATGAGGAATTAGATAGACAACACCGAAGGGAGTCTTGGAACCGTGTCATTGCTTGCCTACCTGCCTTGCCCTGTCTGGGGTTTGGTGCTGAAAGCAGCAGAAGCATCGCACTAAACGTCTCTTTCAGCTCTGGGTCATGTGTGAATTTTAAAGCATGTTTTTTTTTTTTTTTTTTTTTTTTTTTAAATATTTATTTATTTATTTATTTATTTATTTATTTATTTATTTAGTGTGTGGCCAGCTCAGCCCACCAGGGGGCGGGCGGGCCAGCATGTGGTGCTGGGGGATTGAACCGAGGTCTCTGTGCTTTGCTTGAGCTTAGCTTGTTCTAAGTAGGTGCTTTAGACCACTGAGCCATCTCACCAGCCCCACATGGTTTCAAGTAGGTGCTTTAGACCACTGAGCCATCTCACCAGCCCCTTAAAGCATGTTTTCTGTAGAATCCATTCAAAAAAATACAGGGTCAATCGTTTCCATAAAAAAGCCTGCCACGGAGTAGAAGAGAGTGTGTCTATCTGATAATCTTGCCAGAGTATCTGGTAATATTGCCTGGGGTTACTGTCAAATCGAGTAAGGGACATGGGAAGGTAACCCGCCTGAATGTAACTGCAATTTGTTACGCAGCTACTAGCAAGTCTTATAACCCTGTGCTATAATCGACCATTAGTCATTTCTCTCCCTTTAGACACTTACCCATTGCTTGGTTGTGTTTTGTTTTGTTACGTTTTTGAGACAGAGTCTCGCTATGTAGTCCAGCCCGGCCTTCAGCTTACTATGTAGCCCGGGCTGGCCTCAAACTCACAGTGACCCTCCTGCCTCAGTCTCCCGTGTGCCACCAGGTCTGGCTAACATTTCTTGTTCTGTGTCCATTCGTCTTGATCTTCCTACCTTTAGCCTCAGGTCAATTCTTGTTTTAACCTTCTGGATTACACAGTTTAAGGAGAGGTAAACTTGTATTTCGTTTGCTTGGTCATTTGCTAAAATCCCTGCAAGGTGAAGGAGAACATTATGACTTTATATCAACAAATCGGGAACACTCAGAGTAGCTGCCGGAAGACAGACAAGGCTGTGGTCCAGCTGATGGGGTTACAGGCTTGTGGGGCCAGACGAGAACAGGCGTTATTTTGTGAACCTAAGTATTAAGAGATGCAATTCCAGACCCCTGCTTACTTTGGCTTCTTTTTATCACAGAACAGGCAGCTCTTTGTACCTCAAAAGAGACGCACAGGCCTCAGAGTGAGATCTGAGCTGCGGCGGACACCTTTTGCCTTGACCACTTTCTACCCAGTCTTGCTGCTGAGGAGTTTTCTGCAGAATTCTCACAATGCAGGGTCTGTTCAGAGGATGCTTAGGAGAAAAGTCTCTGCACATGGGGGCATAGCGAGGGTGTGTGTATGTGTGTGTGTGTGTGTGTGCACAAAGAACTTCTGATAACCTCCTAAGAAGGAAGAAAATGTGACAGGAAGTGAGCATTCCCAAGGTTGAGGCAAGAGAAAAATTGATGAGAGTTTGAGACCAATCTGGGCTACACAATGAGTTCAAGCCCAGCCTGAACTCTGAATCCTGGTCTTAAAAAGCAATCATCATGATGGTTATTATTATTCCGCACAACATGATATATAGGAAGGGAGTTCACTTGGTATAGAAGCAAAATGCATAATAGCTACCGTAAGAAATGTAGACGACCTAAATTTAGAAAGCATGAAACTTTACTGATTCACAAAAGAGGTTTTGTAAAGACAAAAGACATGTTATATCCCAAAGAGGAAAGATGAAATGTTTTAAAGTTGTCAATTTTAAATACTTTTCACAATGGAAATACATTCCAAAAACCCCCAAAGATTGGCTGTTTTCTTGTCAGCCAGTGCCCGATGGCACCTGCCACAGCAGAAATGCTGGAAGGCTTGGAAATAGCCAGAGGCCTTGGGCGCAGTCGGCAGACACGGCCGGTTACTAAGGGGCAAATAGTTGTGTAGGGTAGGGTTTAAGGCCGATTGGTGTGCAGAGCTATGAGCTCTCAGACAGCATCATGGGAGCACCATGCGTGGTTGGATTTCTGTAAAGCGCCTTTTGATATTTTATACCAAGATCCTTAATAAAGTCCCTCCCCTAAACCTGAGTCATTTGTGGGACAATGGCTATACCCAGAGACACCATGGGACGTGAAGCAAATCAGAAACACAAGCTTAAAGATCACATGGTTTCTCTCTCTTTTTTTTTTAAAGTTTCTATTTGGTTTTTTTAACCATTTTTTTAAACATTTATTTATTTGTGTGTGTGTGCATGTGTGTGTGTGGCCAGCTCAGCCCACCAGGGGGCGGGGCTGCCCAGCATGTGGTGCTGGGGGATCGAACTGCGGTCCCTGTGTATTGCCAAGCTTGTTCCAAGTAGGTGCTTTAGACCACTGAGCCATCTCTCCAGCCCCACATGGTTTCTCTTATATAAATACACAGCAGAATAACAGATAAGACAATGGGAAACAGAAGAAGCTTTTACAAGAGAGAAGGGACCAAGAGAAAGAGGTGGGGAAGGGACTGGAGGTGCCTCGAGCTCCCTGCCACGGATGTGGTCACTGCTTCCAGGGAAAATGATCTAACAAAAATAAGATTGAAGAACTGTTCATCCTTTTCCCCATCCTATTCCACACCCAATAACACACCCTCTCTACGAGAAATGAGATGTGCTCAGGAGGGCTTTGTAGAGAGATACACAACGGAACATTCTTGATAAGCTGAAAACAATCCATTTAGGAACACTTCCAAAATCCGCTCCACAGTGGATGGTTGGTGTCATGTTCCCATAAGTTCTTGCACTAGAAACTTAATTCCCCGATTCCTACCTTGGGGCCCTGGGATGGCTGTGGATGCCACTCGGGTGAGCCGTAAAGGTGGTGCCCTGGTGGCATTAGTGACTGCCGTGCGCTGCTGTCTTGGGAGGCCTCCTGGTGCTGGGTGGCTGCTCCTTGCCTTCCTCCCCAGAACCGTGAGCCAAAGAGCTTCCGCTCCCTGTGAATCACCCTCTCCCGGTATTTCGCTAAAGCAGCAGAAAATGGCCACAGGTGTGGTCGCAGCCAATGCAGTCGATTCCCTGGGTAACGATGGGTGTGGAAACGGACGTGGGCATGGGTTTGATCTGAGCAGAAGCTGAGAGCCAGTCCATGGGGTAACTAGAGAAGGTCCTCTGCCCCGAAACGTGCAAGCACAGGAAGAGACCGCAGCTAATCTCTTCTCGACATTGCTGTCCTGAATGTCAGGTCTGAGACCAGGTGACTGTCAGGGAGAGCAAGAGGGTTACTCTGAGGCACCAAAGACAGTCGGGGTCGCCTGGCTGCTTCTACACTGCCACCGCCACCTTCAGTGTCTCCTACCATTCTTACCATTTTCCACAGACTTTTTTTTGCCTAAGGCCCTTTACAGTTCACAGATTATGTGCATTGTTCAATTAACTAAATTTTGGACTCTATGAGACCTGGGATGCTTATCTTTACTGATCATCGATACACCTCATATGCTCGCTCCATGGGCAGATCTGTGGATCTGGCAGCTGGGATGGATGTAAATTCACATCTGCAGAACTTGACTTCCTGTGTGACAACTGTCCCACTGTGCTGCTTTCAGGCATAAGAAAAGTCACCAGGGGACAGGACATGGATTTGCCCTGGGGTGGACCTGGAGAGCAAAGCCAGGGGCCAAATCAGGTGGAGTCAGGAAGGGAGGAGCCTCCTGCTAGGCACAGCCTTGGAGCCTGGGAGCCTTGGCCACCCAAGGGCAGCCTGCTGCCCTGCCCAGCCCCCCAGCAGGTCTTATCTTTTCTCTGGGTCCCCAACCCGCCCCTTCTGCCCCTATGACTCCTAAGGCTAAACTGCAGCAACACTCTACCCTTATCCACCCACCAAGCAGTGGAAGGCCAGACCATCCACAGGGAATACTGACTGCTAAACCCAAGCTAAGAATTCGGACTTCAGGGAAGCTCTGCTGGACATCTAGGTGCTGTGTGATCTTGGAAATGTCCTTGTGTTCTCCGGGTTGCCTCTAACGATGAGCTCCCCTCATAAAATGCATGGATTGCCTCAGATGATGTCTATCATTCTTGCCAATTCTAAAAGCCCTGGGTTTTGCCTGCCAAAGAGAGCACCTGTGCTGCATTGGGTCACATTGGCCCACTTGTTTCCAACCTTTTTTTTTTTTTTTTGCAGAACTGAGAATTGAACTCAGGCCCTTGTGCTTACCAGGCAAGCACTATCCTACTGAGCCATCTCCCCAACCCCTTGCTTCCATCCTAATTTGTTTCAGTACAAGTCTTTTGTTTGGGGATGGGCGCCATCAGTGCCTGGATGGGGCTATTTGCAGCTACTCTTACTTCAGTGATTGACTACTTAGCACTTACTTACCCTTTTCTGCCCAATATCAAAGCTTTAGGTTTAACACACATTTACAAGATTCTATACTTTTTTTTTTTTTTTTTTTTTTTTTTGGTGGAACCAGGGATTGAACTCAGGCCCTTGCACTTGCCAGGGAAGCACTTATTCCACTGAGCCATCTCCTCGGCCCCAGATTCTATACATTTTAAGGTACATTTGCAAGTTTAATATACCTGATTTTCTCAAATGCTAAATTCTAGCGGGGCAAATTTTAAAAGTCTAATAAGAATCCTTTAAAGCACCCAACTCTTCTTTATAGCTAAGAACCAAGCTTATAAATGCAGTAACTAGGTTTTATTAAACTTTTCAAATTTTTAGAAACTTATTTCTAAAAATGTTGTTATTCATTTAAAATTAATATTACAAACATAACACATTTTTCTTAAATGTGCCATATACCCACAATGAACTGAAACATATCAGCAAAGTTGTTACAAGATTTATTCCTGAAGTTGGGTTTCAGAATTATAATCCGCAAAAGGCTCATTTGTTCATCTGTGGAAGTAGCCCTCAGAATCTGGAACTAAGTCATAATCGCTAACCGGAATGAAAATCTGTGAGTCTAAGGATTAGATCAACAATTCAGTGCAGGAGCCCAGTAACTTCCAGAGGAGTAGGAGGACGCCTTGGAAAATCCACAGGGGTAGACGGGGGAAGGAGCAGAAGCTCAGAGTGCAGGATTTTGGTACTAATTTTAGGACTGAGGAGACAGATATGGGAGAGGCTTTCTGCTGAAAAGCACTTCTGCTTGATGATATCTAATCTTTAAATATCGATGATGGTATTCAGCTTATTCATTTTACAGTGTAATCGGGTTAATTCCATGAATGTGTAGCTACCAGGGCCTGGAGTGCTGGGTGTGGAGGCCACACTGGTAAGCCCCGCACTCTGGGAGGCTGGGGCAAGTCTGAGTCCGGCCAAGATATTTTAACGGTTTAGCAAGACTCTGTCTCAAAACACACACACACAAAAAAGTCTGGGAAAGCCGTCAGGGCAACAGCCCTGGGGCCAGTCCCCAGCCTGCATGGTAATGCTCGTCAGCTCTGTGGGCGAGTCCCTCATCTGGACCTCAGCAGGAGGCCGGGCTGGGCAGGGGGATTTTCTGGGCAGTGACTGGTCATAATCACGCAGCGCCAGGCACTGAGAGGAGCAACCTTGCAGCCGGCCATTGCGTGGCGTGAAAGTGCTGCCGCCGGAGCCCCTCCTCCTCCGCAGCCTCCTGGTCCTCAACAGGGGGACAGCACCAACTGGGGCCAAAGGTGGACATACAGGGGTGAGCCTCTCCCTCCGCGTGCTGCCCCCAGCCTCAGTTTCCTCCTCTGAGCACCCTCCGGCCTGGACCGGGCCTGCGCAGCCGCGGGGTTCCGTGACACTCGCATCCTGGGACTCACAGCCACCTCTGCGGGCCACACCTCCCGCCAGCGGGACCCCTTAAGCCAGAGTCGCGAGGAGGGGTCTCGCCGCGCTCCGCCCGGGGCAGGCGGGGTCTGGGGCTCCGCCCACCGCCGCACTCGAGACTGGACAGGAACCCGCGCGGCCCGCGCTGCCCGCAGCTCCACGCCCCGGGGTCCTCGCCATGCGCCCCCCGCACCACACAGCCCCGCGGCCCCCGCTGTTGCTGCTGTTGCTGCTGCTGCCGCTCCCGCCCGCGCCGTCGGGCGCCGCGGAGGTCCCCAGGGCGAAGGCGAAGGCGCAGATCCGGCAGCGGGAGGTGGTGGACCTGGTGAGTCCCGCTCGGGTCGCGGGCGCCCGCGATGCAAAGCGCGAGGAGCTGAGGCACCCGCTGTTCTCAGCCAGGCAGATCTGCCCTGGGGCGAGGGGACCTCCAGCTGGGCCCAGAGACTGCAGTGTGGTTCGTTTCTGAGGCTGCAGGGCCGGGAGGGAGGAGACGGCCCGCTCAGTTCGCGCCGTGGGAACCCCACGGGCTTCAGTCCACGGTCACCAGGGACAAGTGTCGCGGTGGCCGCCGTGGAGAGGCGGTTTCCGTCCAGGACTGCACCGCCTCGTGGGTCCGCGGGAGGCCGTGAGCTCGAGCCCCAAAAGAGCAGCTGGCACGAGCACGGCCCGGTCCAGCATGCCCGGGGTCCCCGCACGCCCCGGGGTCCCAGCACGTCCCGGGGTCCCTGCACTCCGTGAGGTCCCTGCACTCCCTGAGGTCCCTACACTCCCCGAGGTCCCCCACGCCCGGTCCCTGCACGCCCCGGCCCAGGTGCCTCGTAAACGCCCAGCCCGGCCCCGCACGCTCTCAGGGTTGAGAAGCGCGGCCGGGCTTTGCCGCCTTCACATTTTCAGGTTTATGGAGCTGGGAGCCAGGCGCCGCCGGTGGGCTGAGCGCGGCGCCAGCGCTGGAGTAGGACGCCTGCCCTTCCCGCGGTGTGTGACGCTGCTCGTGTCCCGGTCACAGTTCTATTTTAAGGGTCTATATTGTTAAAATTGTACGCAGCGAGGTGGTTTATGTGTACTTCGCATTTTGTGAATGTGTAGGTGTGGCCCACAAAGTACCCCTTTACTCACAAAGCTAGCAATTTCTTTAAGATGCACAGTACTGTGCCTGTGGTTTCCCACAACTCTCGCCCAGACTGGAAAAAGTGCACTGTGCCCCTGGGGTCGGGTCACTCTGTGGACTGGAAGTGGGCTTGGTGACAGGAAAAGTCCACAAAGTCAAAAGCAGTACCGCTCAAGCGGTACCAAGAAGCCGCTTCTTTGTACAGAACTTTCAGAGCCTCATTTTCACTCTCACCGGGTTCTGCCTCCTGGTGGACTCAAAGGGAACTGGGCCTCTTGCGCATTATGCACACAGGACTCTGAACATGCGTGGGGCTGGCCTCTTGCAGTGGATGAAGACAGATGCCTGAAAACCAGGGCAGCCTAGGCGTGGTGGCGCACGCCTGTAATCCCAGCACTCGGGAGGCTGAGGCAGGATTAAGGCACCTACAATCAGATGCAGGGGCCCAGGGTTCAATCCCTGGGCCTGTGGTGCTGCACCCCCCAAATGGTAATTGAGACTGGGCATGGAGGTGTGCGCCTGTAATCCCAGCTCTCGGAAGGCTGTAAACAGGCAGATCACTGTAAGTCCGATCTAGTAGTGAGACCCTGACTACCCTGTAGACCCTTCCCTAAAAATACAGAAAAAGAAAAGAATATTAAGCCTAAAATCTATCAAACGTAAAATATTTTGTACTTCAGCATGTCTTCAAGTACTTCTGGGGTCTTTAAATGCTTTGTTATTGTTTCTCTAATTGTAAATAGTCAATTGTGCCCTTTTCCCCTTCCTGTCATTTTCCTAAGCCATAGCTTCACAGTCACAAGGAACTCCTTGGTGCTGATCATCCATCCAGACTATGATGTGAGAAGCCAACCTATCGGCCAGCAGTGTGGCTACATGAGATCCTCCTTAGAAAATGTGATTGCTGGGTTTTGTAATCTGATTGTACCCAAGCCCAGACAGTGAAATTAACTTTGAAGTTGCTTTAATACATAAGAACATGTGATGCTTGTGCTGAGACAGCTGACACAGTTAGGGAAGTGTTAGCTGTGCGTGGTGGCATGCCTGTAATCCCAGTACTCAGAGGCTGAGGCAGGAGGATCACCACAAATTCAAGATCAGTCTGGGCTACATAGTGAGTTTACAGCCGGGCTGAACTATATAGAGAGAACTTATCTCAATAGAACCAAACAAAACATATGAGAAATGTTAAAATAAAAGTGTATGTGGGGGGCTGGGGAGACAGCTCAGTAGAATAAGTGCTTCCCTGGCAAGCACAAGGACCTGAGTTCAACTCCCAGTTCCACCAAAAAAAAGTGTACGTGGGTTGTGCTGAGGTGGGAGGGCCAGTGGCTGGTACCCCAGCTGCAGCCAGATGGGGGAGCCCAAGTGTCTCCTTTGCCTCTGGTTCCTTGTGGCTTTGTGGACACTCTCTCTCAGATGGGTCCAGGGAAGGAAGGGCACTTGCTGTGTACTCTCTCTCTGTGGTCCTGGGGGTCAAGTGCAGGGGCTGGGGCACGCTCCTGAGCAGGGTTCCTGTTCTACTAGCTTTAGAGCTCAGGCTAGGGCTGGGACAAAGGCTGTGGTTCAGTTGCATAGCGCATGCTTAGTGGGCAGGAGCTCACTCAGTGCTCAGCCTGTGTCCTTCCTCGAGAGAATCCTTTTAAAGCTCCGCTGTACAGAGGAGAAGACAGGCCTGAAATCCGGAGCAAATGCCCTGCCCCACATTGCGGAGAAGCAGAGGAGCCAGGGTGCAGAAGCCCAAGAATGGGCTCAGAACCCACGCATTTTAAACACTGCAAGATGCCGCCCCCCCAGGTGACGTGTGATGGGACACTTCCCACGCTGTGGTGGATTACCGTCCCCTGTTAAGGACCCATGGTTACCCAGAACTACTGTGATCACTCGCTCCTCCTTGGAGGCAGTGGCTAGAGTGCTACCCAGCCTGCTTCGTCTACAAAGAGCAGGGACTGGAGAGGGCACGCATGTGCAGCTTAGAGAGAACCATTGGCAGCTGAGCTTTTATTAGGTAATTGTCCTTAGAAATTCACCTTTAAAAAAAATTCAAGAGAAGAGACACTGTATGGATAGATTTTTTTTTTTTTTTGTGGAACTGGGCATTGAACTCAGGCCCTTGCACTTGCCAGGGAAGCCCTTTTTCCACTGAGCCATCTCCCTGGCCCCATGGATAGATTTTTATTCAATAACATTGATAGGAAAAAATAAACTAAGCACCCCCAACCGGTAGACTACAAAAATGTAATTGCGAAACCAGGCGTGGTGGCACACTTCTGTCATCCCAGCACTCAGGAATCTGAGGCAGGAGGATCGCTGAAAGTTCAGAGCCAGCCTGGGGTAAATAGTGAGTTCAAAGCCAGTCTGAACTACAGAACAAGACTGCCTCTAAATAAATAAATAAAATGAAACTTTAAAAAAGGAAAGAAAAGAAAGCCACGTCCTTTTACAAGACGTGGACTTGGAGAAAAATACTAAAATACTAAACTGTATCTTCCGTGCAATTCAGTTCTATAAAATCAGATGTGCTTATAATGAGCAGTAGAGGGGAACAGGTGAATGAAAACATTTTGTTCTTTCTGATGTATCTGTGTGTGAAGTTTGTGCATTAAAAATATATGGGAAGTGACAATAATTTCAAATGAGGGGCGGGGGAAGTGGTCTGGCCGGTGGTGGCGCCATTTGAAAGCGTCCTTCAGCCCTGCGGGCAGGCGGCGCGCGAGCCCAATGCGCCTGCGCACTCAGTGTGTCTGTCCCTCCTCCCGCAGTACAACGGGCTGGGCACCTGCCTGCAGGGCCCAGCAGGGGTGCCCGGGCGCGACGGCAGCCCCGGGGCCAATGGCATCCCAGGCACCCCTGGGATACCGGGCCGTGATGGATTCAAAGGCGAGAAGGGGGAGTGCTTGCGGGAGAGCTTCGAGGAGTCCTGGACCCCGAACTACAAGCAATGTTCCTGGAACTCTCTGAACTATGGCATAGACCTCGGGAAAATCGCAGTAAGTACCGTCTGCATTCAAGCTGACACAAAGCATAGGAACTTTCATATTGGGGTCTTAACTTTTAGGTGAGATTATATAGATTTTTTTCAACTAAGTAATTTTTTAAAAGGTAAGAAATAGCAGAAGGGCTGGTGAGATGGCTCAGTGGTCTAAAACATCTACTTAGAACAAGCTCAACAAAGCACAGGGACCGCGGTTCAATCCCCCAGCACCACATGCCAGCCAGCCCCGCCCCCTGGTGGGCTGAGCTGGCCACACACACACACACACA